CTCGACTTTCCAATGGCCTCCGGCGTCACCGCCGTGCGACGGTCAAGCGAAATAGTCGCCAGTACCGGCAGCGACGCTCCTGACAGGTCGCCAGCACCGGCAGCGACGCCCCAACCGGTCGCTAGTGCCGGCAGCAGCGGCCCTGACCGGAAGCCACTCACCCAGTGCTCCTCTCACCTCTGCCCCCCCCCCCCCCTCCCCCGACAGACACCGGTCACGTGACAACGCCGGCGGGCATCCGGGCGAAGGTAAACAGCGCGGTCGTCGGAGGTGGCGGCGGTGGAGGTGCGGGGGCCGGGCGCGCTCGTCTGTTATTTCCGCCCCCGCCGAGATGAGGGCTATTTATTGGTGCATCTGGCGTGCACGTGCGCCGGCAGCGGCGGCGGCGGCGCCGGAGACCGCAGCTCCCGCGGTGACACATGAGCCGCGGCTGCCGACGGCGCCCGGCCGCTCAGCCGCAGCAACGCGAATAATCGGGGCCCGAGCGGGCGGCACCGGGCAGGGCATCCGGGCGGAGGACATCGGTCCGGGAGAGAGAGCGCAGGAGCGGTGGTGAGCGCCGAACGGCGACTATTCGCGCCGTCAGTTTGGCAAACCCCTGCAGTGTGAAGCCTCGGAGCAGCTGCAGGGGGTTTGAGTGCCGGCTGGCAGCGGCGCTGTACGGCCGCCCGGGCCGAGCGAGAGCTGAGACACTAAAGGCATCTGTTTGCTGTCGTCGATACATTCCGAAACTTGCATGAACGTGACATTCGGCGCATGTCACAACATCCCAAATATCAAACAACTGCTTCAAAAATGAATTCTGGGTTAATTCGATGTTCCAATAGCATCCAAAACGGATTGGCATCGCGGAGAATAATTTCCCGGTAAATTAAAATGGATCGTGGATTCAAGCAGGTCATTCTAAACATTCGACAAAAGACCCTAGATTCGACAAGATCCGTTAGCAACATGCGTTAGAGAATTCCTCATTTCAAGAGAAACAAATCAAAGCTTATGGAAACCTTTGACCATCATCGCCATTTCAAACCTACCAGATGTCAGAAAGCAATCTGTCCATTCTGAGCAGATCGTAAAAGCATACCTCAAGGACCGTGTGTGCGAAAAGCCAATTCAAGTGAAGGAAGCGGGAAGCTAGTACGTATGTTTCTCAGGCCTTGATGTTCAGACATGAACGTGACAGAGCTACCGCAATTTGTGCAACGGCTCGTGACAAAAGAAATCCTACAGCCTGGAAGATCCTGACACAAAATGACAACGATCTTGGGTCCTCCACTAACACCGGGCCAGACAAATGAGACCCCGACACTGGGTCGATCCGCGTGACCTGCGTGCATGTCTTACGCCCATCGGCTGCAGTCGGCCTCGATGAGCGGGCGACGGGCGGCGGTCCGGATCGTCGCTGCAGCGATCACATAACATGAAACGTGATAATAACAAGAGCGGCCCGCTGTCAGAGCCCCCACCAATCATCCAGGTTGGGACGCATGCTGCCTCTTGGTGTGATGAATCATCACAGGAATCGGACGCCGGATTACACAAAAACGTACCCCATCTGAATAATCGCCTTTACAGCCGGGGGAGCTCCGTCAGCCTTGATAAGGCTGTTGTGGTTTTATTTAGTCCATGCACTGTCATGATCTTGAAAGATTGTTCTCAACATTTGATTGCCTCCTCAGAGGGTTGCAGCTCCTGCTTTTGCTTTTGCCAATCTGCATAGCTTTTGCGCACAGCTTAATGCTTTTGTCATCCCGACCTTTCATGAACATTAACGGCTTTGTTGAGCATTTTCATCGAATCTTGAAGATTTAACGCCGATTTTGTTGTGCAATATAGCTATGCATAAGCCTATTGCACCGCGGACCGCATTTCAATGCTCCCTCTATGACAATGGTCCCTCTAATGACAAACAGCGGAAAGTCAGGTGTCAAGTCACCGGTTAAGGACTCAAGACAGCAGATTTAGTCAGTAGGCCGCAAGCATCTCTTGCCGAAGGTATGCTGCGCTGCGTTGACCGTACTACACTGGCCGCAACGCAGAAGGCAAGATCTCGCACCACAGAAAGGAACCGTCATTTAACACGGGAGCGCACATCCCAGCACATAAACATCTCAGCAGTTACAGGGCACCACGCAGCGGCGCGTGCCGCACAGTGCGCTGCTGACCACATTGTAGATCGGTCACACGCCTCGGACCCTGGTCCGTTAGCACACGTCTCGGCACCCTCTGAAAGCTCGGCGCGTCGGCTTTGTCCGGCTTCCGGGCAGCAACGCGGGTGGGGCGAATATGATGCCGCCGTCCGCATGGGCAACTCATTGGCTGAAGTGTTCATTTCCGCTGAAGTCGAGCACGGGATCCGCAATCATTTCAGATTTGGCGCCAGATCTGGAGGCGGGACCGGCGGTGGTCGCCCCGTTCGCTGAACCCGACACGAAACTCAAGACCTAGGCCTAGGCCGGCCTACGGGCGGTCCGGCTGGGCAGTGAACAACATTTGCGCGGGACGGGTAAGGGCGAATGGTGCAGGAACCGACGAGCACCAGTTGCATCTGGAGGCGGTAGTCTACAAAATCAGTATACAACAGTGCATGCCAGTTGTGATATGGACATATATACCCAGTATGGCGTATGCGATTGCCAGTCTCCCTTCAAGCATGCATTCATCTGTGACTCGCCTAGATTTTTGCACAGCTAAGGCTGTTTATTGTCCAAATGTCCAATTCAAACGCAACTTGAATCGGTGGACGTGGCCATACCCGTTGGATCTTAACACCCCATGTCGATGGTCCTTCAATGACAACTGCAGGGAATGTTCCTAAGGTGCATTTTGTTTACAGACAAGCTCCAAAAGACGCCTGACTCAGTTCCAATTCGAGAAATAACGATGACGCACACAACGCGTAGAGCATACCCAACGTGCATTGCAAACAGGTCCGGTATCCATTCCGAAAAGGCAAAGGGCGGCGACTCGACGTTTCAACATAAGCCTACAGTATGTGTGGTAGGCCTTGACCAATCGACGCACTGCAGTTTAAAACGTATATCCCATCAGAGTATGCGTCAAGAGTTGCACACTTTGTAGCCCTACGGCGGGAGGCATTCAGCATATGTTGCAGACAGCACGTTCTGTAGCAACGCTGCGAGCCGGAAACAGCTCGCACTGGTTACATCGTGTCTGTCGGGGTACGACAAGGTCTTGAGCGCCCGATCACGCGGTGTGTTTCAACGATAAGCTTTGCAGGGTTCGCGGAAGTTTCCGTGACTTGTCGCGGACAATGGAGTAGCCAAGGAAACCAAGCAGCTACGTAACCCAGCGGCAATACGCCTTAGAGTAGTATGGCACCTGGCATGACGTGGGACGGGCAAAGCGATCACGTTTGTCAACGTTATCGGTACATAGTAATACCGAAGCCGACACGGAAGTACCCAAACACCTTCCGGAATCAATGTAGATGGAACCTACCGATACACTGGAACAGGTGAAAGGACATACCGTTGGAATGTCTCAGACGTGTTCACAAATCCCTCGAAAGTTGCCCGATAGGATGCATAGCTGCAGGTGGGCATGCGTTGGCATTTCGGAAGACGAAACCTTTTAGAGTTACCGCATCTATATTTGTGTATAAATCCGCTCTTGAGATCTACTATCAATAAAAAAATCCCACAAACCGACAAATCCATTGTGTGTGCTCGGGTGCACGCGCTGATTACGCAATTCGATCTATGGTGGCAACAACACAGCACTTACATTTCCGTCTCCATTCAACAAACTCGCTTCTGACGTGCATGAGATGGGGCGATTAAGCTACGTCATTAACATTATTCCAATAATATCGTAATGTTGTAGGAAGCCGAATCCTAATCAAAAGCATCTAGCATGTAAATGTATGTGTTCTATGGACCATGACACCATGAGGTCATATCATGGTTCAATCCATTTTTTTGCGGAACTTTGAACCTATATGGTAGTCGAGGAAGGCAATCGATTTGAAGAAGGGATTTTAGCCCACACACTTTTTGAGACGTTCTTTGGTCACTGCAAACAACTCGAAGTGTTGAAGCACATTGATCTGCCCACTGCACTGCCCCACCTTAAGGAGCGGCAGATATGCACGCAAAAAGCCATGAAATAGAAACCATGACCATGGGCTGGCTGGGTCTGGCGGCCCTGCCCCGTTGGCTTGCTGGGTTAGATCCGTTTAAAATCTTTAGCGCTCATATCAGGGCTTACATGAAGGAAAACACACTAGCGGTGGATTAAGAATACGTGAATCTGGGAGCCAGCCCTTCGCCGAGACTCTGCCCGCACAAGGACCTTCCTTCTCCTCGGACTGCGTGCGGGCGCTCGGACGAAGTTTGCCAGGGGGCGCTTGGCGCCACCCATAGACGGCTGACAGGTGTATGCAGGCTGCCCCGGAGGAACGTGGCGGCGCGGCGTGTCGGATGCAGCGACTACGAGGACAGGTCTTACTCGCAACCCACACACGCAGCTTTAAAGTCTGTAGTACGAGCCCCCAGATTAGAACTGTTAAATTTGTTCCAACTATCACCTTGTAAGTTGCTCATGAATAGGCGTTGGCGCTGTGCTCGAGAGAAAAAACAACTGTGGTTAACACGCCCAATACACAATAAAACGGCGCAACAAAAGGGCCCATGCTCAAAACTTTCTTTGAAAAGGAATGAGCCAACAAAGAAATAGGGTCAAGCATAATGCTGACTTAAGCAATACCTAAGATTTCAACAGCACACAGTTAAGGCGTCACAAATGCAAACGCATGAGGAAATATACAGCAGCTTTTTTACAACCACATACTAAATGCCACACAAACATGACCTGTGGTGCCCACATATTCAATCCGTCCTTAGATATAACTACAAATGGAAAACCTGAAAACGAACATCAAGTACTTAAGTCGCCTCGATCCAAACAAAAAGACGAGTAAGTCAATGAGAGCTCAGGTATAGACATCATGTGACAAATTATCATGACGTCAAACTTACCTACGCCCAGTTTTTGCTCTGTTCGCTTCTTCCACATCATAAGCTACATGTAAGGACTCAGAGAAACACCCTACATATTCCGCACACACAGCACCGATCCCACACTGCCGGCGCACCCACACACCATGACTATTGGCGCTCAACTGAATCAACAGCTCAGTATCGTTTGGTGGTTGCCAGTCCGTAGCAGCTGTTTGGTAGGAAGTCTATCTGAAAACAATATCTCCGTCAGTTTTTAAGTTTTGTATGGAAACTGCGCCATTTGAACACCAAATTAGGGAGTGTGTTACTATCTGCGACCGTGTGTGAGTGAAAGTATTTTGTATTACATTTTCATGTGCTATCATCTTACTTCCCACTAAACTTAGTTTATTTTACGAAACCACGGAGCACTACCGTCACCTGGCGTTACAATTGTAAGCTTTAGTTGAACGCCCGATGAAAATGGGAGCGGGGCGCAAGCATAAATAGAGGGCGCTTTATGACGCTGCAGCTGGTGACCAGCGGAGTGGTGAGGGGTGTCAGAACTTGACGTTCAATGCATAATCTAGGTGTCCTAAGCTGTAGCTTGGGGGGGGGGGGCTAAACACAGACACGTGTTCGCTTACTGAGAGACCAACTCAATGACTAAGTCTACCATTTTGACGCCAGACTCATTCGAAAGGTCTTGGAAGTCTGCTTTAACCCTAAACCCGTTAGGGCCGAAGCGCCCTGATCAGATAAAGCGGCTCATTGGCAGCCAAGGGATTTTTGATCAAGCAGATGGTTCTGAGCGGGAAATGTGACCCTGGAACGACCAGAGAGCCCCTGAGTAGTTCCGGGGCTCTCTCAGTGTCCAAAAGCGACTTTTCAACACCAGGGAGGTCCTAAGCAACCGTGTAGTTTCTAAACCACCAGAATGTAACATGACCTTCTTTTCATGATGATGATGATAGTCAGATGCGTTTTACCTGGTGCTGTCTGGAATCTCATTCTGGAAAAGAAGCTTGTTTACTGCATTCAGTGCGGTCCTTTTTCTTCGCGCGTTTGTGTCAAGTTACGTCCTACTATGGGGCCTCTGGGTCTCCCGGATCTCCCCCTTTGCATCCTCTGGATCTTTCCCTCACCACATTTTACGTTGACTGGGACCCGGGGCTGGACACCCCCGACCACTGCGGGATCTCAAGCCGAGCAGAGAAAAAACTAGAGAACGTAAGTACTGAATGTATGCATATATGTATAACATCTGAAATGCTTCCATGCTATGGCTGTGGCGGATCTACGTCGTAGAAAGTCACCTTTAATCTAAACTGACCAGTTGAGCAGAGAAGCTTAATTTCACGCCGATAAATCTTTATCTATATATCATACCAATCCTAGGATGTAAACGCCACAAGATACACGAGTTATGGAGGCTACATCACACACCTGTGCTCCCGGACAATTATTTAAAGTGAACAGCGATCTGCATGAAGTAACTGCAGTTGGCAGACCGTACCATGTGACTGCAGCACGGTACTGGAACGCTCGCTGAGAAGAATTCTGTACATTTTAGTAAATTAAATTAAATTTTGCTCGAGTAACACTTATTGATATATGTAGCTAAGCACATCATTATTGACCACACTTTCCACATGAGATCGAGACCTGCCTGTTCACCGGACATACAAGACTGTGAACAACGCATCAGCCGTTGCTATGCGCTGCAAGGTCTGCACCGATAACTTACGTGTAAACAAACGTTCTTCGCCTCTCGGCCGAGTGGGCTCCGGTCGTGGCGTCATAGGCTTAGAATGGGCCCACCCTGAACTGAGGAATGGACTTCCATTGGCTTATGAAGAATGGGGCTCAGTTGGCTACTGTGCCTGTCGGCACGACAGGCATTGCTCGGGGCGTGCTCTATCGAACGCCGTGCCCGAGCAGTTGCCAACGGCGACCGCATAGAGACCGTGGCCGGTGCCTGGAAATGGCGTGCGGCGCGGGCGTCTGTCCAGCGACATGTTCGACCGACAGCGGCGTTCTAGCGTCTAGCGCGGCTGTACCGGCTGACACCGGGGACCGGTGGCCGTGGCTGGGTTGCCGCGCTGTGCAAGAATCGGCGGCAGCGATTGGTAGCGAGCAGTGGTTTCATCGTTTTTCAGACCCGGGTTTGGTATTCATGTAGCTTTGCTATAGCCACTTTATATTCGGACCTTAGCTCTGGATGTCCTGTCGGATGCCATGAATGCATGCATCTGTAATCAAAACTGGTTAGAATTCAAGTTGCGCAATCAGTGGTGTCTAGCCTATTGCCCCGTTCTCCATTTTTCACCGCGTCGTGGAATGCCTCGTTCCATGGCTTTGCTGCGATTTCACAACCGATTACAGCGATCTCTTTTACCTGGATCTCAATGAAATGAATTGTCTTTTCCTAACTTCTATTTTTGGATCTTGTGCTATGCTGTTAACATTCATTTTTACCACAGGCAGATCTAATAATAGTTCGTGGAAGACAGGTTAGGTTGAGGCAGAACGGGGCAGCCAGCCCGTCGGGGTTTTGCACCCCCTACTCCATAGCTCAACTTTTTTTAGTTCTTGATGTAAACTAAGATTGCCAGATGAGCTGGACTTCTACTGTAACCATTGTGCTTTTTGTGTGCGCCTGCTGGGGATGGCGGGTGATGTGCATTGAAGGTAAGCTTTTAACGCTAAATGGAGCTGTTTTCAGTTAACCGAAGAAGCTCTCTTGCACTTAACATTCAAGTTTTATTGTCAAAATATGGTACGTAGTAAACGAGGCAGAATGTTTGCTGGTTCTGGCTCGGAAACAAAATGTGACATATCTGGCGCATCTTTCTTCAAATAATCATAATTTGCATCGTGGCACAGGTGATATAATACGCCTCGTTTGCACGAAGCAGTGCGCGCCCGGGGAAGGGGGGGGGGGCGGGGGCGGGGAGGCGCCTCACCCCCTGGAACCACCAGGGCTGCCAGACGCGAAAGTAGCATTTCTAAACTATATGAAGTAGCTCAGCACCAAGGCAAGTATGGTTAGAACATGAGATAACTATATGCTGGTCATATTTCCAAGCACTTTAGCAACTTTGTTAAGGTTTGCATCGCAATCATAACGTTAAAGCTGCCGTTCAATGCTTCTCAAAAGACGCTACAATGATAGCGGCGTGCGTACGATTTAGATGAGGAAGCGTGAGATGATCGTTGGGGGCCAAGTTCATATGCAGGACAGAGAGCTGTAACAGCCCGTAGAATGTTGACACAATAATTCACCCCGAAACCTAGTGTCTGCCCGTACTTCGTCCTCTCATTCTGCCTTCTTAGATTTTGGCTGGTCTTGAAAGCTGATCTTACCTCACCTCTGGCTCATAAACGTCACCAAAGTTTTAGGATTTCGGGCAAGCCGGCCCGCCGAAGACCTGACTTAGTTTCTAAGTATGACTCCTGCTCGCATTTCAGGCCTTTTATTTCGCGATCAGCGAAAAAAGAAGACAAATTAAGAAGACATTGCGATAGCTGTTCAAAAAGCTGACCGCCTTAAAGCAGTCAACGAAGGGTCGCAAATCTTCAGCGCCAGCGGACTGTGGCCGCTGAATTCTGAAGTGTTCTCGGACGACGACTTCATGGGGCCACCCATGACTCAGGGGCTGGAACAAACTTCAGATTCAGGCAAGGGCGGTGACAGCATGCTGCGGAGTGCCACAGACGGCACGACAGAAAAAAGGTGCAGAGTCGGAGTCCATTTCACCCGCACCGACAGTGGCGTCAAAAGCAATGCTCAGTTGTGTAAAACATAACCAGCCTGTGGCCGGTCCCAGCGGCATTCAGATCGTTCACAGTCTGTCCCCGTTGACGAGGGCACCAAAACTCAAGCGCACACAGCGACAGCAGACATGCGCTGTGGTAACCTCTTCGCCATACAGAACGGTCGCTTCAGAAATCACCGCCAAGACAAGAGTCAGACTCTGGGAAGCAGGGTAAAAGCGGTACCGGAGAGCGTGACGCGTGGAAATGGTGACGGAGTGTTGACAGAGAAGCAAGGCGATGTGCACACTAGTTTCTTCGTCTATTGTATGCCGTGCCACCTGTCTTGCGAATCCTGGATTCAGTGCACGAAGTGCTCAACATGGGCATGTGAGCTATACACGGATGGCAACAAAGGGCGGGTATCTTATGTGTGTGGCCGCGGCCGGGAATCGAGGAAATGTTGAAGAACGACACATGGGTACCGCTGTGTCGCAGTTTCATTCATTCCATGTTATGGGGTGCTAGTTTCAGTGTGCTGTGGCCAGTTCCGACTTACGTAACGTTTTGATCATTGTTGGACGTTTTTGCTGTATGCACGTTTTGAGCTTTGAGCTCCTTAGATGGGTACGTGAAACGCTACGAAATAAACTAATAGCGATGCATCACAGAATTTGCAGCATGTGAACTGGACAACATCAGGCAACAGGGAATGGCCAGTGAAGGGAAAAATTTCGACAAGTGTATGTTATATGCTCGTTGAACATGTCTCAGAATGCATTGAACATACAATTCTTGAATTAAAAACGCTGCATTTGACGCTGTTCATTCATGTCTATTTTTCAGAAGAACCTCCGCAGATATGTCCTTCATGTCTTCTTCATGAACTGGAGGCGAAACAAAATGCGCACATGAAAATTTTAAGGAGAGCTTTTCTTTGCTCACGTCTTAGTGCTGATACCTTGCGCGATACGCGACAAAATAAACGCAATGACAAGGGCCAAAGTCAGGCTTTCACAGGAAGGTTCGCTTTGCCCCAGCTCAGAGGCAGTTTGCCCCAAGATGGAGTAACGGGCCGTTTTTTATTCCCGCCTATTTTTAACAATTTTAAATCCAAAACATTATCAATACGTTAAACTATTATTATTCAAAACGAGAAAATGCACTGAGCCAGCTACTAATATCTAAGATGGTCCGATCACGTGCCTGAGTCCAAATACATGATGCTTTGAATGGAATTAGGAGACGTTTTGCCCCACCTACCCAATTTTTTAACTTTTAGTTCACGCGTGAACCAACGTGAAACTGATCACTCTTTTTCCCTTGTGGGGTGGTTTGCAGCGTGATGTCACTTTTGCACGAATGCTATACGTGATGCAATAGCCATTTTCATGAAACCCTCCAGGGCCGCGCT